TTTCACATCTCCTTCCCCTGGACATTTGCATCCAGATTCTGTTCACAAAACAGCAGAGAATATTAAGAAAGAGCAGTCACGCACTCCATGACGACGTTTCCATCAATGACAAACCACGTATATGACGGTGGTCCCATAAGATTAGCACCATACAGCCTAGGTGTGTAGCAGGCTTTATCATCTAGGTTTGTATAAGTTCACTCTATGATGTTAGCACAACCACAAATTCACCTAACAATGCCTTTCTCAGAACGTAGCCCCATTGTTGAGCAACACATGGACGTATGACCATCACGAGCCTGCCACTGGCCGTCAACAACAAAGTCTGCTCATGGTCTGTTTCACATATGAAAGGATGCTCAGGATGATCCTCCACTGATGTCCGCAGTCAGGCCACCATCTGAGGCCAGCAACTACTGGTTCTTGTTCCAGCTCTTTCCTGTTGTCTACACTGAGCAAGAGGGTTTTGGAGGAGAATGAGAAAAAGAAGGGCATGAAAAAGACAGGCCTGAGCCTTACTTGCCTGTGGTGTGGCTGGTCATGTAAGACAAGGGGAGTTGGTGAACCCTCCACAACATGGCTTCATCTCTTTTTGAAATGACGTCACAATAAGACAAAGGCCTCCCGTGTGGGAACGAGGCCAGAAAGCCCCATCTGGCTCCACCTCTGACACTGACTCTCAGTGGGACCAGGAAAAGTCACCAGCTGCCTCACGGGGGACCACGGTGTCCCAGTGATTTTCAAACAGTCGCTGGTTGAAACAGTGGAAGGAAGGAAAAGAGAGTGAGAGAGAGAAGGTGGGAAAAAGGAAGGAAGGAAAGAAAGAAGAAAGCAAAAAAGAAAGAGAAGGAAGTTAAAAAAAGAAGAAAGCAAAAAAAATTGAAAGTGCAGGCTAAAATACCAGGTTTTCTCACCCACAGGAATTGAAAAAATGTTCATTTTTCCAAAGCCTCCATAAACTCAGTAAATGGCTTTAAAATAAGTAAATGTCACAAATGTGAACTCAATAAAGTAACTGTGTACTAATAAAATCTCTCTTTTATATGTTTATGTATCGTGCACTTGCATGTAACAAATTTATTTGGGGAAAACAATTCCAGTGTGAAGATTAAGTCTGAAAACTACTCACCCAGATGAACAGTTTATTCAGTAGATATCTGGTTGTGAGCTATGACGAGCTGTGATGCTAACTTTGTACATTTCTGAATAGATAGGGAGAGAACCCAGATCTTCCCCTCAAAGAGCTCAAAGACGGACTCCAAGTTGAGGGTTCACGCTTTAAACATCCCCTCCATTCTAAACAGAGCAACTATATTTAAATAGTTTTAGCTGGACTTTTTTTAAAAAAATTAAGACAAAGTCACTTTCAAAGATAAAAAAATTTCTCAGTGAACCAAAAACTAAAGACAAACCAAATGCTAGGAAGGCACTGAGGCCATGACATTACTGATTCCAGATCAATTCTTCAAGCACCTGGGAGTTCAACTACAGGGACTAATGGAGACCCCAACCCCAGCCATGACAGAGGGAAAGAGCCATCCTGCCACATAACAGGGCTGAGACCGACCCCCTCATGTGAAAGGTTAAAAACCAGTTGTGACCACTGCCTGGGGCTGCAACTTGCAACAGCAACAGCAGTTCTGGGAGGGAGACGAGAAGGCTCTTCTCGTAGGACCAACTCCTACAGATGCAATAAATTCCAGATTGCCCAGAGTTCAGTTGGACCAGTGAATTAACTGGACAGTGGTGAATGGGAAGCTCTCTGAGGATTTTACCCAGAGAAAGATAAGAATAAGAAGTATGAAGAAGAAAGTAAGATATGGAGACTAGATTGAAAGACTCCAATATATGTGTAATAAGATTTCCCAAAGTAAAAAACAGAGGGAATGGAAGAGCAGCAATATACAAAGAGACAATGGCCAAGAATTATCTAGCATTAAAAAAGATAAGAGTTTTTTAGATCAAAGCCGTACAAGAAGAATAGAAATAAATCCACAGCTAGATAAGCTATGGTGATGATGCAAATGTCAAGAATACAGAGGAAACGTAAAAGCTATAAGGAAAGACAAGAAAATTGCTCTCAAATTCTCATGAACAAGTACAGAAGCCAGAAGACAAGGAGATGGCATCCCTCTGTGCTGAAGGGACATAATTGTCAACTGGAACAATATATTTACAAACTTTCACTCATGAGTTAGAGCAAAATAAACACATTTCAGACTTACAAAACAGAAAGCTTACCACTCACAGACCCTTATTGAAAGAATCATCAAATAATCTATTTCGAAACCAATGAAACAAAGATCTGGTTCTTTAAAAAGATAAACAAAATTGACAAATATTTAGCTAGATTCACCAAGAGAAAAAGAGAGAAGTCTCAAATAAATAAAATCAGAAATGAAAGAGGAGAAATTACAATGGACACCTCGGAAATATGAAAGATTATAAGAGAATACTATGAAAAGCTATATGCCAATAAATTAGATAATCTAGAAAAATGGATAAATCTTAGAATCACACAACCTTCCAAAACTGAATCAAGAAGACACAGAGAATTTGAATAGGCCAATCACCAGCAAGGAGATTGAAACAACAATCAAAGATTTCCCCCCAAAAAAAGTCCAGGACCAGACAGCTTCCCTGGTGAATTCTAACAAAGATTCAAAGAAGACTTAATACTTATCCTTCTCAAACTCCTCTGAAAAATTGAAGAGGAGGGGAGGCTTCCTAACTCATTCTACGAAGCCAACATTATCCTGATACCAAAACCAGAATAGAAAAACACAAAAAAGGAAATTACAGGCCAATATCACTGATGAACATTGATGCAAAAATCCTCAACGAAATACTAGCAAATCAAATACAACAATACATTAAAAAGATCATATATCATGATCAAGTGGTATTTATTCCAGGGATGCAGGGATGGTTCAACATCCTCAAATCAATCAATGTGATACACCACATTAACAAAATGAAGAATAAAAATCACATGATCAGCTCAATAGATGCAGAGAAAGCATCTAACAAGATACAGCATCCATTTATGATAAAAACTCTCAATGAAATGGGTATAGAAGGAAAGTACCTCAATACAATAAAGGCCATATATGACAAAGCCACAGCTAATATCATTCTCAATGGAGAAAAACTGAAAGCTATCCCTCTAAGAATAGGAACCAGACAAGGATGCCCACTTGCACTACTCTTATTTAACATAGTATTGGAAGTCCTAGCCAGAGCAATCAGACAAGAAAAAGAAATAAAAGGGATCCAAATTGGAAAGGAAGAAGTGAAACTGTCACTTTTTGCAGATAACATGATATTATATATAGAAAACCCTAAAGAATCCACCAAAAAACTTTTAGAAATAATAAATGAATACTATAAAGTTGCAGGATACAAAATCAATATACAAAAATATAGTTGTGTTTCTATACACTATCAACGAAGTAGCAGAAAGAGAAATTAAGAATACAATCCCATTTACAATCACAACAAAAAGAATAAAATAACTAGGAATAAATTTAACCAAAGAGGTGAAAGATCTGTACACTGAAACTATGAAACATTGTTGAAAGAAATTGAAGACACAAAGAAGTGGAAAGATATTCCACGCTCTCGGATTGGAGGAATTAACATAGTCAAAATGTCCATGCTTCCTAAAGCAATCTACAGATTCAGTGCAATTCCCATCAAAGTTCTAATGACATTTTTCACAAAAATAGAACAAAGAATCCTAAAATTTGTATGGGAAAATAAAAGATCCTGAATAGCCAAAGGAATCCTGAGAAAAAAGAACAAAGCTGGAGGTATCACACTCCCTGATTTCAAAATATACTACAAACCTATAGTAACCAAAACAGCATGGTATTGGCATAAAAACAGACACACAGATCAATGGAACAGAATTGAGAGCCCAGAAATAAACCCAGACATCTACGGACAGCTAATTTTCGACAAGGGAGCCAAGAGCATACGATGGAGAAAGGAGAGTCTCTTCAATAAACAGTGTTGGGAAAACTGGAGAGTCACATGAAAAATAATGAAAGTAGACCATTATCTTACACCATACAGAAAAATTAACTCAAAATTGATTAAAGACTTGAATTTAAGACCTGAAATCATGAAACTTCTAGAAGAAAACATAGGCAGGACACTCTGACATCAATCTTAGCAGTATATTTTCAAGTACCATGTCTGACTGGGCAAGGGAAACAGAAGAAAAAATGAACAAATGGGACTACAACAAACTAAAAAGCTTCTGCACAACAAAGGAAACCATCAACAAAACGAAAAGACAACCTAACAATTGGGAGAAGATATTTGCAAACCATATATCTAATAAGGAGTGAATATCCAAGATATATAAAGAACTCATACATCTCAACAACAAAAAAACTAACAACCCAATTAAAAAATGGGCAAAAGATCTGAACAGACATTTCTCCAAACATATACAGATGGCCAACAGGCACATGAAAAGAAGTTCAACATCATTAACTCTTAGAGAAATGCAAATCAGAACTACAAAGAGCTATCACCTCATGCCCATCAGAAGGGCTATTATTAATGAGACAGGAAACAAGTGTTGGAGAGGATGTGGAGAGAAGGGAACCCTCGTACACTGCTGAGGGGAACCCTCCCACCAGTTTACTCAAACTGGTGCAGCCACTATGGAAAACAGTATGGAGATTTCTCAAAAAATTAAGAATAGAAATACCATATGGTCCAGCTATTCTACTGCTGGTTATTTATCCAAAGAACACAAAAACACAAATTTGTAAAGATATTTGCACCCCTATGTTCATTGCAGCATTATTCAGAATAGCCAAGACTTGGAAGCAACCTAGGTGCCCATCAAGGGATGAATGGATAAAGAAGATGTGGTATTTATACACAATGGAATACTACTCAGCAATAAGAAATGATGAAATCTGACCATTTGTGACAACATGGGTGGACCCTGAGGGTATTATGCTAAATGAAATAAGTTAGTTGGAGAAAGTCAAATACCATATGATCTTATTCATAAATAGAAGATAAAAACAACAACAAACAATCACATAGAGACAGAGATTGGATTGGTGGTTACCAACGGGGAAAGGGGTGGTTAGGCACACGTGTATGATGATGGATTGTAATTAGTTTCGGGTGGTGAACACAATGTAATCTACACAGACATTGAAATATAATGATGCACACCTGAAATATATGCAAATTTTATAAACCAATGTTACTGCAATAAAAAAAGGCATATCAAAAGTGGGGGAGAAAAGAATAATAAATTCTAGAAAGTACTTCTCTAAAATATTAAAGTTGTGCACCACTTTGTTTTTATTTGTTAGCAATTAAAAAGAATTTTAGTATGCTACAAAAAAGGATTAAATTTTAAAAACAATAATCTATTTCAACAATAAAAAATAAGTGAACACAGATGGAAGTTAGTGATGCAAAAAGCAATAGTGAGTAAAGAAAGTGGCCAAATACTGTCTGTAAACATAACAATAAAACTCAGATTTTTGTATTAAAAATATTGAACCAAAGCGTTGGATCATAGTCACAAGAAGCAGAACTGAAGAACAGTACGTAATAAAGTAAACTAAAGCTTTTTTCTACCTTTCTTATGTTTGAAAGAGACTAGAAAGATACCAAATTACATAAACACATAATTAATATATATCTTCAAGTTTAAGAGTAACCATTACAAGAAATACAACCAATTTAGCTTGCCAAACAGGAGGGAGAATAAGAGGGAATTAAGAAAATTTTATCAATTCAGAAGGCAGAAAAGAAGATAAAAATAAATCCAAGAAGAGTATGATAAGCAAAAACCCACAAAATTTGATGTAGAAGAAGGATAAACAGTTCAATAATCATACAAAAATGCATTAAATTTATCTAGAAAAAAAGATTTTGCTGATTGCATCCCCCTGGCATTATCAACGTGTTCTTTTGTCTCTTGTGCTTCCTGAAAATTGGTATTTAGATCTAGAGGCTTCATCAGAGTCAGAGTTACAATGAAGTTCTAGGAAAACAGAACTTTCCAGTGGACCTGCAAGCAAGGTGGTCTCTAAAGCTTGCGCTGGAAGACTGACATCAGGAACGTCACGAAGTCTTTATTTATTCATTCTTCCACACTCCTCCTTTGTGCGCGCGTGCGCGCGCGCGCACACACACACACACACAAGCAAGACTATTTCGAAGGTGGTGGTGTTTGCGTCCACGAGGACATATAGACATGTCTGGTTGTCCCTCTTGTTGTGATGTTATCAGCCATTTAAGCATTGTCTGGCTCCATTGCCTGGATTCATTAATGCTTTAGGGACTTCAAAGTGGTCTAACTTCATCATGCTTTGCTCGTCAGCTGAAATTCGTCTATACAGAGAAGCTACTCCTCCCCAACCCATCACCAGAGGAAGAAATCCTAAAATAAAAGCAGGATGAATGTTTGCTATTTCCCCTTCCTTTCCTAGATTTTAAAACAATAAGGTGATTCCCCAGCATCCTCCAAAGTTATTGATGAGTTTTCTCTAGTTATTATTGTTATGAACACATGCATTGGAACTTATTGGATGTGTCCATCAATCAATTGCCATCATTATTCTTTTGGATGACAAACTTGTCCCATCTGTAGCCAGTAGGAGCTTATTCAGATGGTCTCCTAAGTCCTTTGACACATCCCTCGTCATATTCAGTAGGTTCTTTGCTATCTAGCATAACGAGTTGTTGAGGCTCACCTTGAACTTTTCTTCCCCAGAGCTGGAATCTGCCAATTCTCCAGGAAGCTCTGGTTCCTCTCCGTGGTCAATGGTTTTAGAGGTCACAGTCTTAACTCTAGGTATGCCCACCGCTTTCTGGGCTGGTCATGACTTCTGGGCCTCTCAGTCAACAGACAGGAAGACATCTGAAGGTAAAATACAGTTCACAATGACAATTCAGATTCAGAGTTACAGAGTTGTTACTTAACCTCATCCATCTTTATATCTGTGTCTCCTTTCAATCAGATGCCAAAAGTCTTGGTATTCAATGTCAACAACACAATCACTCATTTGATTTATTCCAAGACATACACATAGTTACAGAACAATCGTATCAACACTACTACCACCAATATGATTATTGAATACAATTTATTTTGCCATTCTTTTTGTCCTTAGAGAACATTCCTTTAGAGATGCAAAAGTACTGTGTTTTAGTGTCACTTGGAATAGTTCCTTTCTGCATGGTGTACTAACAACTGGATCCACAGGTTAATTTGCTTTCAGTTCTCTGAAAATCTCTTCCAAATTCAATTAGCTTTCTTACCATCTCATCTGTTGACTTTGCATCTCATTCTCTTCACTCCTTTTCTTTGCCTATTCTTGTTTCATGAAGGCCGTGTTTTCTAAAATGCACGTTAGGCAAATGTTCTTATGTATCTGATTATAAATAAATTTTGCTTCAGGATTCTTTGAAAGGCCTCACTTTGCCTGTTGCTTGTTTTGTTTTCTTTTTCTGCTATTTCATCCTCAAACGTGATTCTTTCTGGTTGGGCCTGGGATTTCTTAATAGAGTGGATGGCTTGCCTTGCCTGCCCCTTCTCCAGTGCAGATGCTGGATTAGGCATAATAATTGATAATAATGTACTTATTGAGGCCTTACTATGTCCCAAGAAGTATGAACTAAGAACCAAGTACCACGTACTGAGAACTGAATCTCCCTTACAGCCCTATGACAGAGATAATGCTCTCTCTATTCCAGAAATGAGAGATCCAAGATGTGAAATACTTTACCGAAAATAACACACCCAGCAAGTGCCAGAGCCAAGAAGAATCACTCGTCAGAGTTAAAGCCAGAAGAAAGACTGGTGTTCACCTCCCTGACTTCAACTTCTAGCATCTAATATATCTCCTGCTCTGATTTTAGGCCTGACTTTAAGACAAAGAATGTAATTCCTAGCAAAGGTGAGAGTAAGTTGGGGGTCCTCCTTCGACCAAATGCAGTTCACAAAAACCTGTAAACTGCCACCCACTCCCGGCATTCCCTGTTCCCAGGGTTCACCTTTCTCCATCCTTTTCCACAACAGCCCCCAGGATGCAATGCACAATGGTGAGGTTGTATATGCAAATTATAGACTCTGGAAAGAGCAGAATAGATCCAATGAAAGCAGGAGATGGTGGGCAAGCTTCTGCCCCTCGGAAAGAGTCCTGGCTGTTCCTTGGTTGGAGCAGAGTCTTTCTCTGACCTATGGGCAGACAATAGGAAGAGAAGTGGTTGTTCTTCCTACTTATTCCCCAGCAACTGGCACCGTCCCTTTCAGAGGAGACAGTGGATAGAACCCGTGCCACCAAAGAAGCTGAGAATTATGGGTAGAAGGCTAATTATCAAACAAGGTTATAAACTACTTGCACTGATAAGAAAAAGAGGCCAGGAGACAGTAAGTACCTGATGAATCCTTCATCAGAATTGCGGTTAGGAAAATTTCCCCCAAAATGTTGTGACCAGTGACTGCTCCTATTTTCAGAACTGTTTTTGCGTAATTTCATTAACATTCATATGGCAACTGGGAGAAAATCTGGCAAGAGCTGATAACCTGAGGCCATTAAAGAAGTCCTGTATATGTTAAATAATTCAACCTTCACAACGAATCAATGGGGCAAATGTTCATTTTCCAAGTTGTCAAGTAAGGAACCTTCGACTAGAAAATTTGGCCAATGTCACACGGCTATTAAGCGGCAGAGGCTGAATTCCAAAGGACTTGCTACTACTCCATCCCATAAAGAAGCATCCCTTCATCTAGGAGGAAAGCTCTCCAGGGACTATGCAGCCCTGATCTCCAGGAGAGAAGCATTCCTGAGCTCCCGGGTACATGGCCTCATGTGTTCTTAGTCAGCTACTGGGTCTCCAGCCTGCTTTGGAACGAGGCACTTTACTTCACAAAGACCTTGCAGGCCTGGTTGTGGGGATGTCCTTAGTGTCACCTGTATTTCTCCATCTGCTTGGGCCCTTCAGCACCAGGCACTAAGTGCAAAGCAAAATCTTCCCATATCCTTTGTCAGTCTACTGCCCGCCACACCAAGCAGAGACCAGAAATCTCAGCTGCTTCTTTGCCTACTGAGATTTCACTGTGAGAAAGCAAAGCACCCGCTTTGCTACAGAAAGACAAAAGCAGTAAACCTTGGCTGCTCTGGTCTTGGGTTAGCTTCCCCTTGGGGAGATCTCAGGTTTCCTCTTCTGAAAAACAACTTGTTCTCTGGTGGGTAAGGTCCTTCCCGAGGGAGAATTCTCTGCCTGGGGTCATGGAAGGGGGCAATTTCAGGAGGAAGGCTGTTTTTATGTTAACCCTCTGCAAAGCGAGGCTCCCTCTTGGCTCCCACCCAGCTGGCTTTTGTAGTTTCTAGGGACCACAGCAAAACCAAGTTAGGTTCCCATTCTCCCCCTAAAGGGACATCAGCAAACACAGGGACAGGGGTTCCAAGGAGCGAAGATAAATGCGGGAATGTGCATTTGTTCTCCATACAGGAATTTGGAGACCCTAGTGGGCATGCTCCCAGGTCAAAACAATAACTGTGCAACTAGGAAATGTTAGTGGGGCCTTGACTTTCTGTTTCACCTACCTTGATCCTGGATTAGACTCCATCCAGCTCAGGCGCGGTGTTAACAGTGACTGCTCTTCCTGGCCTGCTCAGCCAGCACAATCGATGCCTGGTGAAAGAGCTCTCAGTCCTCAGGGAATGCAAAATCCTCGTCACCTTGGGTGGAAAGTCCAAGGCCCAAGGTCACCATGTGCCAGTGGCCATGCTAAGACTCCAGCAGAGAACTCCTGGTTCCTTGGCCTCTCCCCTTCCCAGAGTGCATATTTGCCCTCCACTTGACTCCTATCCTCCTTAATTCCTCAGTAGAAACGTCTCACAGCCTTTACTTCTTTTTAATCAGGTCAAATAAAAATGTTTTTAATTAACTGCTTTGGTTTTTATGCCTCACACGCAGCTGCTTTCTGCAATCTGGCAGGTCCCATCTGTCTGCGTTTTAGCAGGCTGCCTCTGCATTCATTGCTCCTTTCCCATCCTTTCACCGAGCAGCCCCTGGGCTCCCCCATTATCCTGGATGCTGGAGAGACAAGACACATAGGGACCCTCAATCCAGAAGGGGAGGGAACACATCTACCGAGAACTCAATATGGCCTGATAAGAATGATGTCCATGGGACGTACAAAAATAGGTGGGAGTGACAAGTCACGAATCAAGAAAGACTTCACAGAGGCGCTGGCTTTGTGCCTTACAGAATGCATCAACCAAATGGAGAAGTGATTGTTTCGTAAAAGGCGAAGAACAACAAAAACCTTCCCAATGCTAACTAAAGGAAGAAAGGAATAAATAAAATACTATACCTGGGTAATGAAAAAAACATTGGAGTTAACAAACTTCCTCTTGAGGAGGTCTGCAAACTCCACCAGGACTGAATAAAACACATCCATATGTTAGTGCTAATTCTCAAAATCTGACCAAGTTAAGACAGTCTCCAAAAAAGGGATTTCTTAAGGAAGTGTGAATGACGATTCCACTTCATCTTCAAGGCACCCTGTGGGGAGGAACTTTTGCACAGTGAGCAAGAAGCAAAGGAGAGGAAGGAGGATGAGATATGAGCCGAGGATGAGCTTGCAGAATGCCAATTTCTGCTCAGGCACCCCAAGCTGATAAAGGCGTGAAAGCAGCCCAGGAGTCCTCCTGTGGAAGGAAGCCATTTCCGGGGTGTCTCCAACAGCTTAGCTTAGCAGGCACGAGCCCCACATTCAACCCAACTCCCTGAACAATCTTGCCTCCACCGCCCGTCTCTTCTAGGTAAGACGGCAACACTCCTCTGGTATCCGCCTCCCGCTGAAGGCTGCAGAGAACCTCAGCTGGACAAGAGGAGGAGAAGAGGAAAAGGGAAAGAGACAGAGGAGGAGGAGAAAACGTGTCATCTCCATTAGTTTCCTAACACCACTGTAAAAATTTACAGCAACTTTAGTGGCTTAAAACAGCATACATTTATTATCTCATGGTTTCTGTGGGTCAGACATCCAGCACAGCATGACTGGGTTCTCTGCTCAGAAGCTCATGAGACCAAAGTCAAGGTATTGGTTGGCCAGCCTGGGGTCTTGTCTGGAGGGTCATGGGGAGAACCCACTTCTAGGCTCATTCAGGTTATTGGCAGTTTCTTGTGGTTGTAGGACTGAGGTCCCATTTCCTTGGCACATGAGGCCAACATGCTTGTTGAGTGTTTCTTATGTTTTGAATCTCTGACTTCCCCTTCTCCCTCTGCTTTTAAGGACTCATGCAATTACAATCAGTTCACCCAGATGATCCAGGATAATCTTCTTATCTTAAAGTCACTGATTACTAACCTTAATTCTATCTGCAAAGTCCCTTTTTCCCTGTAAGGTAACATATTCATAGATGTGGCATCTCATCATATTTACAGCCCTAGGAATTAGATCATAGACTCCTCTTGGGGGCCATGAGTCTGCCGACTACACATCTGTCTCCCCTTGAGTGTCCATCACCTTGCTATCTCATCTTATTTTTAAAAATCTGTGCCAAGAAACTTCAGTATAATACATGGTCTCGACCTTCAAGGAACATCCACCTTAGTTGGGAAATTCAAAACAAGACGCAACAAATAATCACACCAATTGTTACAACTTCAGTATCTACGACCCTTTATAGTTCATACTCATCTACCCATGTTTCCTAAATGCCATGTGTCAGTCCACCTTCCTGCTTTCTTTGTCCTTTTCCATAACCCTCAAAAAGCCAGGTTTCATAATTCTGTCCAGATATCTCTTCCATACAATCCTCATTAAAGTCCTCCCAGGTTGGACCAATTGAAACAAATGTGTCCCTCTTGCATGCTGTACTGTCACTATATTTGTCAAGTGCTGGCACTTATCACACTCACCCTGGGCTGTGGCTTGTTGTTGGAGCTCCCGTCTCCCCCACAGTGATGCACAGGAAGCCCTCACGGCCCTAACCCATTCCCTGAGCTTGGCAGTGAGTTACTCTAATGAAGCTGACACTGGATGAGGGCCATGAGTTATCTGTGAGTCACCATCAAACGTCTGAATCCTCTCAAGTCAAAGCAGAAAGAATACGATGTTCAAATTTGACCAAGACTTGCCTCAATATGATAATCTATACCTTTATCAATAGTATTGATATAGCTGAAGAAAAAATATGAGCAGAAGCAGGATCTACATGGTCCTTGGAAAAGAGAGGGCAAAAGCCACAAGTCAGAGAAGGGTCCAGGAGACTCTAGGTTGGGATGGTTCTGCAGCGTTATTCCACCCTGAATAAGACTTTCCCCAGGAATCCTTATGCTCCTTGCCTGAGCCCAGGGCTGAAATGGTCTGAGGAAGAATTCAGCCTCCCAGACGTTATGTTGAGGGAAAAGTAAATGTAGCATTGTAGATAAACGCATCAATAGTCTAGGTCACACAACTGTCTCCTGTGAGGTTTGTTTATGTGAATAAATCCTTGAAAGCCTAGAAAACGCTAGCAGCCCTGACAAAGTCAAATTTGAAGGCCTTCGTGCCACAGAGCTGCACCTGTTGGGTGGTGGTTCCACCCACCTCCCTGTCAGCACTGGGTCTTCCAAAACTGTGACTTGCACATCCCCCATCACCAAAAGCCTGCTGGGGAAGGGCTCAGAGCTGGTGCTTGGGGACACTTAAGATTGCCCCAAATCTCTCTGCAATCCTCTCGAGAGATAGAACTTGCACCCCTCCCCTGGAGTCTGGTCTGGGCCTGTTACTGCTTTGACCACTAGAAGGTGGGGGAAGCGACGTCCTGAGACTTGCGAGTCCAGGCATTGAGAAAGCCTGACCAGTTCCAACTCCTCCACGTGGAGCCCCAAGGCTGACCCTGTAAAAAGTCCAGGGTAGAGAGAGAGGCCATACGGAGAGAACCCCGAGGATGACAAGCCACATGGAGATAGAGGCCACATGGAGGCAGAGATGGGGCCGAGGGTCCAGCCCCATCTGACGGCAAGTTCATGAGAAATCTCAAGACATACAGTAGAGGAACCAGCCAGTTGAGACCCAGTCAACCCATGGAATTGTGGGATATCATTAAATGGTGGTTGTTCAAGCCGCTAAGTTTGGGGGCAGATTTTTAGGCAGCAACAGATCATCAAAACACCATCCAAGGCAGTTTCCTCTCATCTTTCCTTCAAAGGAGCCCAATAACTGTTTACTGGATTAGCTGAGTTCGAAACTTTACTCTCCAGCTCCCAGTGGATTCTCTCCTTCTGTTTGAGCCCATTTAACAGGTAAGACAAGGAGACTCGCACTGGCTAAGCAACTTGCCCAACGCTGCATAGCTAGTTAGAGGGAATTGAACTAAACACAACTCAGTCGCTGACTGCCTGGGCTGTTCCCTCTTCACAAGCCCAGCCCTGACACCTGTGCCCAGCCTCGTGGTCTGGTCTTTACGTGCAGTCAGTGTAGTGCTCAGAAAGATTCTCAGCACACACGCCAAAACGCCTCTCATCAATGCACGGACAGCTTCTTCTATCTGTGGTCCCCGTAGCGTCTAAAACAGCACTGAGCACACAGCGGGAGCCTAACACCGCCTGCTGCTGAAAACACAGGGCCATTGATTACAATAAAAATGGAGCCGATGGAAAACATTCAGAAATGGGCCCCGTACTACGACTGGTCTCTCGCGAGTTTGTCCTGGTCACTCTTTCTGCAGAGGCCCGATGTGTGGAGGACTGTTCCAATGCATTTCCTAGATAAAGGTTATTGAGTCTCTCATGGATGAAGTGAGTTGCTGCAAAAATTTATTCAGCCTCCAGAGTCTCCTGGAGGAGGAGCCCCCATCACAGGCGCAGACTGTCCTTCCCGCACCGATTTGGCCCTGGAGCGAGAGCCTGGAGTGGGGGCTGTGGTCCTCAGCTATTCAATTAAACTGACGGTCAGTTATTTTTTCTTGAAAAAAGCACAGTGCGGCCAATCCATACGGAAGGGCTTCCGTGATGTGTATCCCCAAGTAGGACGGGAGATGAACGCTCCAATCGCCTTCTGACACGAACTTCATTTGGGGTCTGGAGTAAATCAAGGCTAAAGTGTACATATTTATTGAGCACTTGCTGTGGGTGAAGCACTCCGCTTGCTAAGTGCTGGAGGAAATGATCTTAACAAAAACTTGTAACATATTTTACACTTATCGGATTAGAAAACACTTTTTCCTATCAGCTCATTGAATCTCATAACATTCTTGAGAAACAGAGACACTGATCGTTGCTTTGCAGAAAACTAGGGTCCTAAGAGACTGCAAGACATATGTATGGTTACTCACCTAGTACTCAGTGGGGCCAAGACTTCAAGAGGATATGGTGACTGCATGTTTATCACACTTTCCAGGAGGCGATGAATTGGCAAAAGAACAACATTTATGTACATTGTTACGCACGATATTTGTAGATAATCAAGGAAGAAAAAGACCCCATAGTCAGAGGGGGTCTGCTTAGGCTTCTGGGATTCTGGGGGGCTGGAAGGCTGGCTTCCCCACTGAGTGTGTCTGCGAGCAGCCAGCTGAAGGCCGGGCGGCAGGACCTCCTCGTGGATACAGAGGCCTCCCTCCTGTCTGCAGAGAGGGTTGGAAAGTCCTCCAGGCTTTCACATGCCCTGGGCGCTGAATCCTACACATGGGCTGGGAGATGCTGTGACTGTCCCCTTCTCATAGAGGAAAACCCAAGGCACGAGAGCTGCAGCAGGTCATCAGAGCTGCACAGGTGGAGCCACCGGCTGTCACTCCAGGATTCCACCTCCCAATCCATGAGGCTACTGGCTGCATTTTCTTTCAAAGGGCCTAGGGACCTAGTGATGCAACCATGTTGAAAACATCCTCTCCATGATGCCTCCCCCAGGACACACTGCCTCCGACACCCAGGCAACATGTCTAGTGGGAAGGGCAATGGCTGTAGAGTCAGGGGACCTGGATTCAAATCCTGTGTGGCCGTTTGAAAACACAGCCATGAATTCTTTGGCACTCATTCCATGGAGCCGTGGGGTCCGTGTGAAATGGGACTGATTTGTGGCTGCTTCCGCCATAGAGCAGGGAGGCAGTGATGCGAGGAGACTTGCCAGGTCAGGAGAAGCCTTGTACCTCCTGCTTTGGTCTTTAGGAATGCTTGGTCTCTGATGGTCCCTCTTGGGGTGCTTCCTCCAGAAACCAGGAACTGTGTTGGGATGAGCCCAAGCCACATGTAGAGGTCATGTGTAGGTGCTCTTGGCAATAGTCCCAGGAGCCCAGCCTTCCAGAACACCTGCAGTCATTGGAGCCCCTGGTGGAGCAGAGATGCCCCCGTGCTCTGCCCCAGGTCCCGACCCACAGAATCTGTGAGCCTAAGAAACGACTATCATTTTCTACCACTAAGTTTGGTGATTGTCTGTCACCAGCAAAAGAAAACCAGAACGTCTCCCCTCTAGATACTGACTGTGTGACTTTGGGCAATACAATTATCTTTTGAAAAGAGCACTTTCTGTGCAATAGTGATTTAAAACTAAAATCCTGCTTTGCGTGATGTCATCAGGACTAAATGAGACAGAGAGCGTGGATCGCCTGGCACAGAGCACAGTACAGGGTCAGCCCCTCCAAGTGTGAGTTTCCACATTGGTGAGAGAGGGCCTTGAGTCTGTCCTGACAAAGGCACTGCATCTTCCATCTTGGCAGGTACCCCTCACCCCCCATCCTCCCAGGGCTTCGACTACACAGGCTGGACCTTCCACACCCACCTCCTCTCAGCCTCCTGGCAGCTGAGTGCCCGGTGGGACGACAGGAGCCATGGTAAAGCAGAGGTTTTGCATGCGTGACACTCCCCGCTTTGACTTGACACCTGTGGGGAGGGGGCTCCATGCAGCGGCCTTTTCCAGAGCCCTGCAGGGACTCAGCACAGGGTGGACACCCACATTCATTATAACCACCAGGTGGGGGGCTTTGGGGCCTCCTCAGCCAACACTTCTCTCCACATTGAACTCTGCACGAGCCTCATGATCAAAGTTTGGGCACATCAAGCTCTCACGCACAGAGAGAGGCACGGGGCCAAGGAAATAATCGTCCAAGTGGGTCTCATCTTTTGTGAGGACCAGCATGAGGACAGTCCTTTCAAGACACGAGGAGGCCCCAAGCATCCTAGGAGGTGATAATTAGCTTCCTGCCCCCACAGGTTCGGGCCTGTGAGAGGAGAAGAGGGAAGTCAGCTCCGTCTCCTATGTGGCCAGATGGGACCCCGCCAGGCACACTCCAAGAACGCGGCTCACAACTCTTCAATGCAACACTGATGTGCCCCACGCATGAGTCTCTTACTCTCAAAAAAAAATTTAAACTTTTTTAAATCACACTTATAACTAAATCAGAGAAACTTTTTTCCAAAACCAAAAAAAAAAAGCAAGATTAGTCAATACAGCCATCTCATAAATACACAGCCTCCACTGGAATGCCATCTGTATCTGTGTGCTATTATTCCCATTCCAGAATCTGAGAGGATGGAGGACCCCGGAGAGACAGGATCTTACACTGAAATCATCAAAATTAGAGCAGAAAGATCATCAGAGCTTGTCTGGTCCATTTCAAACTGTTCCGATCAGAGATGAGGATGCTGATGCCCCGACCTGCAAGAGACAACTAAACCCTCAGCTCCACAGAGACAAGATTTCAAGAAGCTTCTTTCCATTGTCATACTCCTGACCGCATGGGGCTTTGGAATGATTGTAGAAGCTGCAGCTAAATAGCTGAAAACCTAGAGCTTTGTAAAGAGATTCACTCAACAACATATTTTCTTGAGTGGCTGCTGAGTTACAAGCATTGGGAGAACAGTCCTCGACCGGGCAAGCGAGATCTTTCCTTTGTGAATATGAACAACGAAAACAGCCACAACCACAACAAAGATGAGTTCAGATCATCAGTGCTCTGATGACCGTAGAAAGGATGACGTTATAGATGGTACCTCAGGCCAGGTAGGGTTATGGATGTGACAGTTAAGGATCAAGGAAGCTTTACTTGAAGAGAGGACATTTGAACAAATCTGAAGAACGAAACAGACCCAAACACGTGACCAACTCTGCAGCCAGAGGGAACAGCAAGGACCAAGGGCCTGAGGCAGGGACGAATTCATGAGCAAAGGCAGAGTGGTTTGAGGCGAGGATGCCACTGGAGGATTTTAAGCGTCATGGTCTCATTTATAGAACGCCAGCTGTGGGGTGGAAAGTGGACAGAAAGAAGCAAGACTGGGAGACACAGAGAAACCAGTTCAGAAAACCACACAGTAGTTCCAGAGAGTAGTTCCCGTAGAGGCAGAGGTGGCTTGGACCAGAGTTGTATCCTTGGAGATGGAGACACAGACGTGCTCTCCTGGATCCTGACCACCAGCACCACACCCCGAGGGAAGTCCAAGGCTGTCTACACATCCTCCAGGGGGGATGAAACGAGGCTGTGCTTCTAGCATCCCCAGGGGTCGCTCCGTGTCAGCATGAAGGATCCCCACTCTCCACGGAGGCAGAGGGACAATCCCCCCTTCACCCTACAAAGCAGAGAAGGCAGCACCCCCAGCACCCAGGGAGCAGCAGCCAGAACTGGCCAGTTGGTGGACAGAGAGCGCCTGCCTTCAGAGGCAGGCCGAGGAGCAAGGGAGCAGCTATGAGGCCTCCTGGAGCGTGCGAACAGGAAGGACCTGACTTAAATGAAGTTGCACTGGACCTGACGGAACACTGCTCAGTGGGCCACCCCTGTCTGATGGTTTTCTCCCTGCCTGGGCAAGCAGGAATTGAAAGCTAGCTTCAGACTCCCTCCTTGGCTTTCCTTGTCAATTACACACACAGATGTAAAGGAAATGACAGCTGCTTTTCCTCTCAGGGCAGGACGAGCCCTAGAACTGGGAGAGACAAGAATAAGACTGTCGTCTGGAGATTAAACCACCACAAACACTGTGATGGGCCATCCACAGGACCGAACCAAGAGACTTTGACCAGAGAATACAGGAGCCACCGAACTCTACCCAAGGTGCCCTGGGTACCACCTCAGAGAGAAGCGACTGTGATTGTAGCTTAATGAGCAGAAACCTAACCATTTTTCTTGTTCCCTCTTTCACAAAGGGCTGTGAACAGCAGGGAATGAAAACCCAGAGCATTAAGGTTAAAAAGGCAGAAATAGAGACTGCCCAGGCAGGCTCCAGAGAGAGGGTGTCCTGACCCACAAGCACAACCTGCCTGGCACTGAGTCATATCCATGCTGACGTGGAGATGGGGACCTGTGGCTCGCTCAGCCAGACACCATGTCTCACCTTGGGATAATTCCAGACTTCCCGAGAAAATGATAAGACAGCTTCCCCACACTGTTCCAGTGTCCCACCTAGAAAAACAGAAACATGTCGTGTGAACAGTGGTGGAAAGAAAAAGGAAACCTGTAACCAAGGAGTGATTCAGGGTTCCATGGTTAGCCGATAGCAGGGGAGGAGAATCGCTCTTTTGTGAGGAGCTCCATGCGTATCTGCTGCCCCTCGAGTGTCCCAGGGCTCACCTCAGGAGGGTTATCTGTACGCAGAGCTCTGTTGTCGACCTCGAGTGTTACTGGGAGCATCAATGATGTAGGGACGCATCCATGTCTCCTGCAGCAATGGAGGAAAGTGACAGCATTTCCAGAGCTGCGTTCTGGCTAATTCATCACTCAGCATGACCCAGTGACAGCTCCAGCTGTGTGGAATCTCCTGCAAACCTACCCAAAATGGAGGTTTTTAAATGTCGCGTTAATCATATGGAAAATTTCTGAAAAGGGCTGAGAGAAATGGCTAGTGTAGACAAGCAGGTATTTTGTGAAGCTGGTGGACGAAAGGCATGAGTAGAATGTCGCTTCACTGGGATCTGTGGAAATCCAGAAATTCAGAGCAAAGAAACTTTTCATCTAAAGTGTGGAATAAGACTCCTTCATTCTTGAGGACGTCTTCCAAGACCAAGGACCTGCTGTAACCCTCTCCTCTTTGCTCCTCCTGGCCCATCTCTATTCTAGACTGTGAGCTCTTTGAGAGAAGGTTTTCGTTTTATTTGTTGTCTCCAGCTTCTAGAGCAGTGCCTGGCATATGGTAAGTGTTGAATAAACATTTGTTAAATTGAGGTCGATTCTCGTAATGAACCCACCCTAACTAGGCCCACAGGAACATCCAGGTCCCTTCCTGACAGACTCTGGTGCTTCCAGGAGGAGCACGGACCTCTTTGAAGGTGTGGAGAGACACCAGTTAGGAAACCCTGATGCTACAGCAGAGGACAGTGTCGCTGGAGGAGCCCAGCTCCAAGCCAGGTGCCATGGAGGAAACAGCAGCAAAAAGACTCTGACTGTAATCAGAGACCTACCATGTACTACCTACATGGCTCAGCTGAGTTGTTTCATGACAGGCCGCCTCCGTGTCTCCATTTCTCAAAGTGGGACATAAAAATCCCACTCCTTCCATTAAAAAAAAATCCACTAAAGACAATACCATATAGGCTTCCAAGCCCTCAGCAGAAGATAAGGAAGGACAGGTTTTGCTCCCAACTCTACTCTCAGGCCACTCTCTTCTCCTGGGTAAAGGAAAAATTTCCCACTACTCTACCCTTCCATGAATCTGTGGGCATGGGAGACGTACCTATTTTTGAGTTATGTCTTCTGTATTTTTTTAAAAGTTGTTTTACAGGCATTGGAGAAAGCCTTTCCATTTAGCACCTTAAAAAAAACAACTGGGTTTGCAAAATTTTCCGATAAAATGTTTATAATTAGATGCACTTGTGAACACAATATGATTACAGCACTGAGGCAAGATGATTCCGCCACTATTTCAATAATGGTTGGAAATAATTAAGCACCTCCTGTAACACTGGAAAATACAGTTTTCTATCCCAAAATGCAAGTGCTTTAATGGACTAAAACAGATTGTTGGCCCTTGGAGTCTGCTACACGTTAAATTCTTATTATTCTGATTATCACACCGTGATTATAACGTATTCCATTTAGCACCATAGACTGTATTCGCTAAGTAGTTCCAGATAATTTATTACTTATCCACGCAGTGGTTCCCATACAGCATCTGAGCAAAAGTTAAGGACAAAATGTAAGCCTTTAGAGTCTAAATAGACTTAATTTTCAATACTCAAAGCTGAGCCTTATTCTGCCTGAACAGAGCTGGCGTGCTTTAATTCCTTTTGTCACAACCTCCCTGGATAATAATTCCTTAATTGCTTCTTAGATGGAAATATTAATCATGCGGCAGCCTTTAATAGGACCAAAATTATGGTGTTTCTTATGCCCAAAGGTTAATGGGGAAAGAGATTATTCTCCTCCCCTCTCCTCTCCCTCCTGATACACAGCTTGTGTGGCACCCATCAGTTTCCCTCTGAATATATTTAAGCTAATGTGTCATCCATCTTTAGGAATTCTGAGGTCCCTGAGGAGGGGAATCATGTCTGATTCAGTTCTGGATTTGCCACAGAATTTAGATCCAATTATTGAAACAGCCTGACTGCATACAAACACGACTGAGTTAAGTAAATTTGGGAAACTGTCTTGACAACTATGCCACCGCTTCTAGTTGACGGTGTGATGGTTGGTCAACTGGCTGGTTGGTGGAGGTTGGTTTGGGGGAGAGGGTGGGGCTTAGGAAAGTAAATCTCTCACTAATGAATAGTAATTAAGCCTCAACCACGTGATAGATCCTGTGCTCCACACTGCAGACGCAGAATGAAGGATATGTTTCTTGCCCTCCAGCAACTCAAATGATGTTGGGGAAGCCAGACTTATAAAAAGGCAAATTAACAAAACAAACTATTAAACACTACAATAGATGTAGGAACAGTGTGTTTGTCTTACAGACACTGTCCAGAGTGGCTCTCTTGGTTTGACAGCGTGTGGAGAGTTATCACTCGTGGTCCCAGTGTAATGGTGGAAGAAAGCCATTTGTGACCTTATCCAGTCTCAAGATGCTTAAGACTTCTGTGTTCACAGAGGAGAAGAGAGAATCCATTTGCATGACTGAGCAGTCAACTGGCCTCCCAACCTCGTTGTGAAATTAAGATGGGTGCCACAGGCACAGATCTTTTAGACTGAACTACGCCCAGCATTCTTGGTTAAACATGGAAAGTGGCAATTTGATCTATTATTAAGTTTAAGTTGGAGAAACAAGAGATGTGACAGGATTTTTGCACTGTATGTTGCAGAGAATTCGTCAAAACACAGTTTGGGAGAAGCTGATCTAGAGAATTATCTAAATGAGACAATCGACACTGGTTGCAAGGCAGGGGATAAGTGCTACATCACAAAAGTAAGAGGTCCAGGTAAGGAAACGGGCAGCTAGAAAGAAAACCAGAGACAGCCAGGAGAGAGGAAACGTGTGGAGGGTGTGGTGTGTGTGTGCTTGCGTGTTAGGATTCAACACTCGACAGATATAGGAAGGGAAGAACTTGTCAAAAATTTGTGTTGGTTTTGAATTTGGGAAAAAATTACCTTTGAGTTCCTCCTTAAACCACATACTAAATGTATCTCTAAATGAATTACAGAACTACATATTAAGACACTAAATTCCAATTACAGAAAAATTAGACTATAAAACTAAATATCAAGTATGTAAATTTAGAAGTGATAGAAGAAATCACAAAGAATAGATCATCAGATTTAACTACAATTAAGGTTTCTGCAAAGTGAAAGAAACCAACATAAAAAGGCAGATGAGAAAAGAAACGCTTCTGCAAACCTTTCTGTAGAAAAAACAGAGGTAACTATTTTATTCTGTGAAGAACAAAGGAACATCAATTTAAAAAATGAAAACAATTAAACAGTAGATGAATAATGAAAATGTTCTCAATAGAATAAAAGGTATTATCATTATTCTATTTATTATTATTAAATAATATTTAACAATGATTACAGCCTGGAATTATGCTAAGTGTTGAACATACATTACTCTGAGCCCTTCTTGTAAAAACCACTTGATAATGGATTTAATTCCCAAGAAATGATCAAAATTAAAAATCAGATATGAAAAGTTATTGTAAAAGATTAGTGGCAATTATTTAATCTATTTAAACATAGAACTAAAACTAAGCAATTATGGACTTTAAAGACCAGAATGCAAATGTTATAAGCTTTAACCAAGTAAAAGGACTACGATAAACAAAAATAAAGACATGAAGGAAATAGAGATGGAAAAAAGTGAAAAAGCACAAATTTTTTTATCCCTCCTAGCAAGGAGATCGTTGATAGGGTATGCAATCAAAAAATGTAATTTAATAAGCTGACTCCCACCTGTTAATATTTTATAGGCTGTTTCTTGGGTTTGGAAGGATCTTCTGGGAAGGAAACCATGGCATGGGATAAAGAAACATCTCTCTGAGGGGCCGGCCCGGTGGTGCAACAGTTAAGTTCGCACGTTCCACTTCTCAGCGGCCCGGGGTTCACCGGTTCGGATCCTGGGTGCGGACATGGCACCACTTGGCAAAAAGCCTTGCTATGGTAGGCATCCCACGTATAAAGTAGAGGAACATGGGCACGGATGTTAGCTCAGGGCCAGGCTTCCTCAGCAAAAAAGAGGAGGACTGGCACAGTTAGCTCAGGGCTAATCTTCCTCAAAAAGAAAAAGAAAAAGAAACACTTCTCTGAAATTCAGCTCTTCCTTCAGTTCCTTCTGTTACATTCAAGGAAAATTCATTTTAATGCTTTTAATTTAAAGATGGCAGTTTAAGAACAGGCCTCCATTCTCTCCACACCTAAGAGTCACAGTGCAGCCGGGAAGGACGGGCCCCTCAGAGGCGGCAAGACACCAGAACGGCCCCTTTCTGAAGAGGGGTCTTGAAACAAAGAGACCAATTTTATACAAAACCGGAATTTTGAATTACTGAAGTGGCTAAAATAACCCAGTTGTTGGAGAATAAAAGTAGGAGGTGAAGGATACGAGCAGGAAAGCAAAGCATCGAGAGAAGGGAGAAAGGATATTCCTCTTAGAACATAAAAGAGAGAAAGCAGCAGAGAAGGGAGCAGCACACCAGACCCGCCCGATTAAAACAGGGGGCTAGGAGAACAAAAATGCACTCCATCAAGTCTGCAGAAAGAAAGCTTGGGAAACAAGAGGTAAGAGTAAAATAAAATAAATGGCAAACTTTAAATAAAATGAAAGAGATAAAATCAAGGCTAACACATATTATCCAAAATTTTCAGATCAATAAACAGACTGTTAGACTGTGTTAAAAACAACATTGTATTCTATGCTGTTCACAGGAAACACATCTACAGTAGAGTGACAAACACGGAAAATGAGGGAGACACGAGGATATCAGCAAATGAAAATAAGCAAGCAAGCAGACCAACAAAAAGCAGCAGCAATAATCTCAATATCAGACAAATCTCAACTTACAGTCAAAAACATTGAACAGGGTAGACAGCGTGATGATAAAAGTTATAATCCAAGATGGCATTATAATAATCACACACACTTTGCACCAAGTAACATAGCAACCAAATCAAATCTCCTGAAAACACAATAAAACTTGAATCAAATACAATTTGAATTTAAAATATGAATACACTTCTAAGATTTTACACGCAAAGCTGGAGAAAAATAACAAAGAATGAGGATTTGATTAAAGATATCAGAGGTTTTGATTACTTGATAATTGACTCCTTTCTTATATCCAAGGAAATTTTACAATATTGATTACATTTTCAGCAAAGAAAAAGCTTTGTCAAATTCAAAAATCTACAAGCTACAGTCTGACCATGATGCAATCATATTAAAAATCAACAATTGCAGTATCATAAAAGATAGAGTTCTTGAAAATTAAGAAAATTCTCTTGGGCTAAATTAAAAATGAAATCAAAACCAAAATAGCAAGTTATTTAGAAAAGGATGCAGAGAAGAACAGAACTCAATCCAGCTGATGTGGTAATGTAACATCTGGAGACAGTATTGTTTGATCGTGACTCAGAATGCCTGGAGCTTTGTGACTCTGCAAAAGCTTCGTAACCTCTCTGTGCCTCAGTGTTCTCACCATAGCAAAATGTTGACAGTAACAGCACTGTCCCATAGGGATGTGGTGAGGATTAAATAACAAGGCACACCAAACACCCAGGAGTCTAGCACATAATAAGTGAATGATTTGTATCTAGTTGTCTTCATTTCTCTCTCCAATTACCTTCTTCCTTCATTCCTCTTCTTTCTCATTTTTAAACTCTTTACAATGTGTTTCTATTACTTTTGTAATAAAAAAAATACATAAAAACGTCGAATGGAGCTATTTCATTGCTAATCACATTATTAATTAAATTCAAAGGAAAAAGACGTCAACTGAACAAGAAATACACTCATTCCTTAGGTCAGCATAATCTAATATTCATCCTCCTGTCTGCTGGTGGGGGTGTGTCGGGTGGGGAGAGGGTGTGAGTCAATTCAGAATGGTTTGATTTGTGGCCATTCCAAACAGACACAAAGGCCTGGCTTCTGTGAAGGCTGCCAGCGGGGTCCTGCCATAATTTCTACAAGGAGAGCTCAGTCTTCTGTGCCTCGGGGACAGATGTGACGGAGAGGAAGCAAAAACAGCCTGTGAGACTTCCAGCCTTTATTTCCAAAAGCGTCATTT